CTTCCCCTTCCTTTTTCAGCTCCAGCCTCCATCTGCCTCCCCCGTTTCTGTGCTCTGATTTCCCTCCCCATCCTCCTCCTTCTCATTTCTATTTAACCACCTGTTCTATTCCCCTGAGTTTGTTCTCTTTCATTCTTTGTTTCTGTCTCTCTGTTTCCACTCCCTTTCTCCTTTTCTTGCCTGGTGGCTGCCCGGTTGCCAGCCTCTCTTTCTTTTCATGGCTCTTCCTCCTTTTCTTCCGAAGCTCTTCTCCCGTCTCCATGCAGTTTTTCCTCCTTTTTCACACTCCCCACGTGTTCACTGCTTCTTTCTGTGCTCGAGCCATTGCGCACTCCACTCTTCGTTCTACTTCCTTCCCCAGCCCCCACTTACATTAATGGGAAGGGACAGTGGCTGGAGGTGGGCCCAACACCTTTCATCTCTGTCCCTAACAGTCTCCCAGGCTGCAGCTGTACCGCTTCAGAGAACAATAAAGCAATGTCTTGGATAGTTACCCTGGAAATGATTCTGTAGACGTTTAGTTCCCTGCCTTTGTTTTTTTATTTCCCGGCCTTTTCTTTCCTCTTTCCTCCCCCCCCCCCTTTTTCCCCCTTACTTTTCTATGAAAAGATTTTGGGAACATGCCATGGTAACCTACAACATCAGAACTTGTACTTTGGATCTCAGTGCCTTTGGATTTGTTATTATTGCTCTCTCTTTTTATTTAAAAATTAAGTTTAAACTCTCCCATTGTTCACAGAATCAAATAATTATTTTTTTTTCCTGGTAGATGCTGAGTTCTTAATTTAGCCTTTTTGCACCAACCTCCTATTTTCTTGAAACTACTACTTGTTTTATAAGCTATCTTACTCTCTCTCATCTTGCACAATTTTTTGAATGTGAGATTTATTCTACTTTAAATTTTTCAAACTGACTTTTCTTTATCTTTCCAAAGAGGAAAGAGATGTCTATTATCTATTATCTATTATCGCATTCATATAAACCTCCTAGATTTATGCCCAACTTGTGACACCAAACACATCTACTTAACCTATCTGTTTGGTAACTGTGCAGAAGGGTGATTCTCACAACAGCAAAGGGATGAGGAACTGGGAGCCAGAAACTGCATTTCTAAAACACTGGGAAGTACAGAAGCGGCCAGGAGTCGGAGTTGGGAGAGCTGGTCACAGCACAGTCTATTGCTCTTAGCTGTATGAACTTGGGCAAATCTTTGAAACTTTCTGTGCCTCATTTTTCTCTTCTCCTTCCCTCATACTCCCTGTTACTCATGGGACTGTGGTAAAGATGCTGTGAAATACCACAGTGGAATCTGATTTACAAAAACAAGAGTCAAAGCCATATCCAGCACATTTCATCAATCCCTGGAGGTCATAGCGAAGGGGATCTGGGGCAGATTAGCTTTAGATAAAGAAATCCTAGTAGGCCTTGTTTAGGGATTGTGTTCTTTGCCTCCCTTGGAGAACATCTGGGGCTATTCCCAGCTGCTCCCCACATGGACCTGCTCCTTGACTTCCAAGAATAATTGAGAACAGTCGAAGTTTCAGCACATTGCAAGACCTTCTCAGTCGTGCTGAGGCCGGGGACAGTGACTGCAAGCCCCTGGGGAAGGGAAAATGGTAAGAGGCCAATTCTAGCCCATCAGGCTGGATAGTCCTAAACCTGGCCTAGTGTATGCTGCCAAGAGGGAAGGGGCTGAGAAGTTGTTAATGTCATTTCAGTATCTGGCTTTCTTGGCTTTGTCCTGCCATGTGTTTGGGTGCAGAACTCAGGAGAGCCACAAAGTGTGTAACCTCCCTCTTCTGTTCTGTCCCAGCAATCACAGAAGCCATTGAGATCCCGCAGTTTATTGGTCGCAGTTACCTGACTTATGACAATCCTGACATCCTCAAGAGGTAATGAACTTCGACAAACTTCCTTATCTCCTGTTGGGGGTAGGGGTTGGAGTGAGGGGAGGATGGATATTTCTTAGTATCTTTTCCCAGGGCTTTTTCTTATCTTTCATACCAAAAGATAATGCTCAAAAAAAAAGAAGCTAGCCATGGCCTCAAGGGGGGAAATGTACAAAATAAACATTGAAACTGGAACAAAACAAAACAAAAAAACAAATTAAAATTGAAAAATTAGCCTTTTAAATGCTGTTAAAAAATGATCCAAACCCTTTCTGGTCAAAAGGCCTAGAGAGAGTAATGTGACCAGCCTGGGGTTTCCAGGACTTGAATTGAGAAGCAGTGAGAATTTGAAGCCCATAAAGCCAGGGCTAGGAGTGATTCCCTGAGCAAGGCACTTAACTTCATGCTGTTTGGGGGCCATTGCCTGCCACTCTGACTTGGGCCAGCAGGGGAAAGGTTCGGCTGCTCCCACACCCAAACAGCTCCCAATCCATCCCCTCCATGTCAGTGCCTACTTCATGTCTTCACCAACAAAGGTCCGATGTCCTCTTCAGACTCTGGCCACTTTGGAGACAGGTTTTACAGCTCTCTTCCTGAGGATAAGGGAGCATGGCACTGAGACGTGCTCATAGTCACAGCCATAGTTTTCACCTCTGGGGACAGAGTGTCCAGCCCTGGGCTGGAGTCATAGATCTTGGGTTGAAATAATCTGTTTACATGGCAAGAGGGAAAGCAGCCTTGGGCAAAATCCTCATCTGGAGGAGGCTGGGGGAGTGGTCTATTTCCCAGTTGAGTTTGTCTTTGACACTTTGAGTTCCCCTTCTTAGTTTCTTTTCCCTCCCCTAGTTCTTTGTAATTTATAGTGTGGTATCCCTCTCTCTGCCTCCAACACAATCATTCTAGAATCTTCCTACCTTTTTGGTTGACTGCATCTTAACAGACTAAGGCAAATTCCACTAAAGGCATGCAGCTCACAGGACAGAGTGTGGTGATTTTTCAAAGAATGAAAGTGGTTGAGAGAAATTTTCCTGGGGCATTGGATGTCCCTGGTAACTTTGAACACACACCAGACAGACATTGCCTCATTTCTCTAATCCTAGGTTGTATTTATCTATGTTGTCTTGGCATAAGGACTCAGGTAAAATGGGTTCCTAGCCAGTAGAGATCTTCTTTCTTCTCCAGCCCTTTCTCTCCAAAAATGGAAGGTCATTCTGTCCCCAGGAAGCGGTGACAATGTGAATTGTCTTCAGCCCCTGATGCTTAGTAAGAGACCATGGCATGATTTGACAGAATAGAAGTTTAGTGAGAGGAGGAGGAGCATGAGGCTCAAAGCAAGAGCAACTCTGATTGTGTGTATGTATGTACATGTAGGTACATATGCATGTGTGTGAAGTTGAGTTCAGGGTCTGTTTAATTTCAATGCCTTTAATAGCAAGTAACAGAAAACTTGGCTTAAAATGTCTTCAACATGAAGGGTATTTATTATGTCACATAACAAGCAGTCCAGACTTAAGCTGGATGCTTAGTTTACTAATTCAGAGAACCAACTGTATTATAAAAGATGTAAATCTCAGGATCAGCAGTTAGTGTAATGGCTATGTCACTGGACTCCCATGTGTCGAATGAGGTTCTAGTCCCGGACCCGGTGGCTTAAACTCATGCTGGGCACGTGTACGTGCGTGCCCAAGATCCCAAGAGGAGAACAGAGAATTGATTGCAGTGTGGCCATCCCCCCTGGGGGGTGATTTCTTGCTTTCTGTCTCTCTCTGTCTTTCTGGTGAGCACACGTGCCCTATAGCAAAAAAAACTCTCCAAGAAAAGTATAAAAGATGTAAATCTCATTCATATTTCTGCCTTGTTATCCTAAGCATAGTCTCCTGAGGCCACTCCCCAGCTGCCCACAATATGATGATAAAGTAGGGCTATATCCACTGAAAAGTAAAAAGAACTTTTTTCTTATGACTCTTTCTTCCCTAGAATTCTCCTGGTAAATTTTCACTATCTTATTGGACAAAAGTGAGTCACTTTGACCACTCCTAATCTTTTTTTTTTCTTTGGGGGGGAGAGGTTTTTGCTATAGGGCATGTGTACTCGCCAGAAAGACAGAGACAGGAAGTGAGAAATCAGCCGCTAAAGGGGATGGCCATGCCGCAATCCCTTCTCCATTCTCCTCTCAGAATCTTGGGCACGCACGCACATGCGCCTGGTATGAGTTTAAGCTACCAGGTTTCAGTCACGAACCGCGGTCAGCCACATGGGAGTCCAGCAACGTAGCCATTACCCCATTTGCTGGTCCCAGATCACCGCTAATCATTGGCAAGAAAAATGGAAGCACCATGATTGGCTTATGCCATTAATATACCCAAAGCAAGTGGAGGAAGGAAAGAATCTATAGCAAAAGTTTGGTCAAGCAGATCTCTAGGGAACTGGCCAGGGCTGGTTTGCCCTGTACCTGGCCTGATGGATCTCCCTCCTTTCTCACTACTCTGAGGCTCTGCCTGGGAGAGGCAAACCCAATCTCTTCCTGTCTAGATCAGACTCTGGGAAGCCTAAACCAAAGTCTCCTCTACTGTTCACTATTGGATACATTCCACAGCTCCAGATCCAGGTAAGAAGGATAGTACAAATGGTAGGAGAACAGAAAAAGAAACTTTTCTAATAATGTTGTATTAGTAGCAATATTAAATTATGTTTTACTCCTGTCTTTTACTTTGCAAATAGAAGAACCTCAGGCTTGCCTTTTTCCCTGTGATAGAAAAACACCACTCACATTAGTGAGAATGAATTTCTGAACTAACCTATTCCAAGAATTGATAAGAGCATGCAAACGCATGAACATAGTCCCAGTCATGGCTGACGGGCCTGTAGTTCATCCTGCCCAAGCTCTCCCTCCTTTCCTCACAGCTTTCTGTTTCTCTTCATTCTGACTGTGCCCCAACTCCCTTCTGGGCCATGAGTCCATCAAATCATCTTCTTTGTCTAAGACTCCATTCCCTGTCCAGTCATTCCTGACCAAAGCCAGCCACCCACAGCCATGATCACAGCCCAGGAAGGCTGCTGACTTGAGCCTTTTGGCAATTGTCAATAGAAAACTCACTTTCTGCTGGAGAATGTGTCATAGAACACGAAGGAAGGAAAAGAGGTGTAGGAAGTAGAGCCTGCGACGGTGGCACTGGCCCGAGCTTTGCTTACTGTGACTTAGCACTCGCTCCCGGAAGTTCACAGTGCTTGGGGGAGGAAGGCACTGCTGCCAAGTGAACAGTCCGGACTTTCAGACTGTGATCTGACTCGTGGTGGTGATACTACCGATACATTTTTTAAGGTTTTTACCAAAGGGTGCTTGTGCTCCCCAAAGAGAGAAAAAAAACAGTAAGAGGGAAAGTGAGAAATCACCCTCCTACAGAGAATGGCCATACCGCAGTCCCTCCTCTATTTTCTTCCTGGGATTTTAGGCATGCACACACATGCTCCTGGTGTGATTTTCAAGCTGCTGGGTCTTGACAACTCTAACTGCCATTGGCCATGTAGGAGTCCAGTGCCTTAACTACCATGCCCCCTGCTGGCCCCAGGTGATACTGTTTCTAATTTTCTGGAAGTAAGTGTTAGAAATAGCAAATTATCTTTACACCTGGTTGCTCAGGACTGACAGATGAAACTGGGATTATTTGGAAACAGATGTCAGTGGCTGATTTGGTGGATTTGCCTGTGTATTTCCTCCAGGGTGTCAGGATCAAGATCAAATGCATTCATGAGGTTTAGGACGACTTCCAAGGATGGCCTGTTGATGTGGCGGGGAGACAGCCCCATGAAATCCAACAGTGACTTCATTTCATTGGGCCTTCGGGATGGAGCACTGGTGTTCAGGTAACTCCCCCTCCAGCTGCCTTCAGGAGCACCTTGCAATGTTTCTCAGACAGTGCAGTGAGCCAAAATATGGTCTGCTGGAAATGACTGCAGCCGGAAGCTCCAGGCTTACTGGAAGGTCCTGGTCTTTCTTTCCAGCACTCCTCCATCTTCTAAGGCAGCAGTCAGCAAACTATGGCCTGGAAACCAAATCTGGCCCACCACCCATTTTTTAAAATAAAGTTTTATTGAGATACTGCTATATCATTAATTATATATTGTCTGTGACTATGTTCATGCTACAATGGCACACTGCAATAAGGTTCAATAGAAAATGTATGGAAAAGCCTAAGACATTTACTATTTGGTCCTTCACAGAACAATTCTGTGACCCCTGTTCTTGTGTGTGACTCCCATATGTGCCCCACTCAGACATTAGGAAGGAATAGAAATAGGTCCTAGATCCTGCGAAGCATGGAAGCACAGGCTTAGCTCAATACTCACCATCTCAGGAAGATCTGGAGAGCCAAACTCTAGGAGCCATGGCTTCTCATTCTGATCCTGCTTCTCCTCTGGGCTGTGTAGCTCTGGGAAGGAGAACGTCTGCTTTCCAATGCTCTGCCATGAAAAATAACAAAGTACAGATTGATCTATCTTTGAATTTTATTTTTATTTGCCAGAGAATACATTTGTTTCCAAGAGATGGAAAAGGGGTGGGGGGAATGAGGAGAAAACCCCCTCCCAATGGAGTGTGGTCATACTAAGATCCTTTATCCATTTCTCTATCTCGTCAGGATTTTAGACATATATGCACATGCACCCAGTATGTTTCTCAAGCTGCCAGAGCTAAGATTTGAACCATGGTCAGCCATGTGGGATCCAGCTCCTTTAACCACTAAGCTAATGGGTTGGCCCAACATTGGAACTTTTGCAGCTACTTCTTGGGTGATATCGATAAGTCAGTTATCTCTTTTAAATGAATTTAGACTGCTCTCAAATTTGCCAAATGGGTGGGTATGAAGTAGTTAAAGAATTACAATTTTGGGACCAGCAGTTAGCATAATGGCTATGTCGCTGGACTCCCATGTAGTCGACCGCAGTTCGCGTCCTGGACCTGGTGGCTTAAACTCACTCCAGGCACGTGTGCGTGCGTGCCCAAGATCCCGAGAGGAGAATGGAGGAGAAGGGATTGTGGTGTGGCCATCTCCACTGGGAGGTGATTTCTTGCTTTCTGTCTCTCTGTCTCTCTCTGCCTGTCTGGTGAGCGCATGTGACCTATAGCAAAAAAACCTCTTCAAAATAAATAAATAAATAAATAAAATAGAAAAAAAGAAAAAAAGAATTACAATTTTGCCTGCCCTTCTTCCCATCAGAATGGGTGCATTTATAAGAAGCAGGGACAGTTTTTGTGTAATATGAAAAAACTCTGCATCTAGGGGCCAGCAGCTGACTTAAGGGCTCTGTCTCTGAACTCCCATGTAGCCGACTGCGGTTCGAGTCCCAGACCCAGTGGTTTAAACTCACACTGGGCACATGTGCGTGCATGCCCAAGATCCCGAGAGGAGACTAGAGGAGAAGGGATTGCGGTGTGGCCATCCCCCCTGGGGGGTGATTTCTTGCTTTCTGTATCTCTGTCTCTCTCTGTCTTCCTGACGAGCGCATGCACCCTATAACAAAAACAAACAAACAAAAAATCTCTCCAAATAAATAAATAAATAAGAGATCGTGTCTAGAGACACATCCTCACTGGAGGTTAGAAAGTGCTCATCTAGATGAGTGGCTTTCAAGCTGTGGTCCCCGGGCCAGCAGCTTCAGTCAGCATCACCTGGGGACTTGTTAAAATGTGTAACCTCAGGACCCACCCCTGACCTACTAAATCAGAAACACTGTGATGGGCCCAGAAATCTGTGTTGTAACCATTGTCCAGGTGATTCTACGGTCTGCTCATATTGGAGAACCTCTGCCTGGTCTCCTAACCCTCTGCTCCTGGGCAGGCATTTCTCTGGCTTTTACTTCTTCAATCTCCCCTATGGTGACTCACACAAATGTTCACTGAGTGATAGGAAATTAATTGGAACTGAAATAGGCAAGGGAGAATTAACTGAACAAAGATGAAAACTTAATTCTGGGACTTCTGCTGGTCATGTGCTTGGATTACTGATACCCAGAGTAGAATAACATAGATCTTTTCCATTTGAATAAAAGGCATTTTGAGAGGAAATGTCACTTGTCCAACATTATTCTGGCTCGAAACAACAGAGCATGCTAAATGATTCAATCCTGTGATTGTTGGGGATTTTTAAAAAACTGTAGGCTAGATGCTAGCAACTAAGAGGCAGCTTCTCACCAACTCTGGCCACCCTCCTCACTTACCCAGAGGTTAAACGCAGTGCTCTTCACACCCCAGATTCAGGCTGGCTGCCTCAAAGTCATTTTCTTGTGGTTTTCCTGTGGTTAACCTCACCAAGGCCTCAAGTACTTGATTGTGCCCAGAAAAGGGAACTGGAGCAGTATGGAACAGTTGTGAGTGGGATGGCTCAACTTCCCCTCTGAATTGCCAGCTAAATTCTATTCTCTACCCACTCTAGCTCTTTAGGGAAACTGGGTCTCTTTGGGGCTTCCCCACAATTCCCACTAGCTCTCATACCCAGTCCCTGGAGAACCCCCAGCCTACCTCCTTGGCATGCTCTAACGGCTCCCCTTCACACTGGTCATACTTCTTTCTTTTAATTAATTTATTCTTCCTATGAATGAGAGAATTGGAAAGTGAAATAGAGAGGGCAAAAAGACTAGCACCTAACAGGGTCTTCACTCCACTATTCACCCCCAGCTTCAACCAGCTCCAAATCATGAGCACATCTGGCACATACAGGGAGGTCTCCAGACACAAACCTGGAACTTTCCTATGAGGGTCAGCCTTCAAGAGCATTGTGTTACTGCTGTGCCACTGTCCAGTCCCATTCCAGACTTATTTCTCTTGTTGCCATGTCTTTCTCAGGTTTCTGAAAGTTGGCCCTGGGTTTTTCTTCTAATCCTGGAGTTCTGGTTCCACTCCATGTAAGACACATTGCTTAACCCAGGCCAAGGCAGACATTTGCACCTGTTACTGGCCTGAAGCCATGTTTTTATGGCTCTATACATTCCATTTATCTAGGTAGTTATTCTACCACATCGATTTACCCTGAACAGATGTGTGAAAGCCCATGGTAAGCTGAAGATAGAGGGATTATAAGGCAGGCTGGTGATTTGAAAATGCCAGCATACAGAGAGTCATCAGGGAGCTCATTGCAAAGGTAGATTCCTGGGCCTGTCTCCAAGATTCTGATGGAGCAGACACAGGTGGCCAGGATCTGATTGGAAACAAGCACCCCAGCTAGTTCCAAAGACAAATTTGATCCCCATGGCTCTCTAATCTCATATAATTATCTAACCTCTCTACTCCTCAGTCCCCTCATCTCTAGAAGGCAAATATTTGCTGTGAGGATTAAATGAATTAATTAATTTAGCTTAGTGCAGGGTGGCAGAGCTGGTTATTAGTGATATTGATAATAAAAAATGTTATCCTTGGTCAAATGCTTCCTGGGTTCTAGAAGCTCCTACCATAGAGAGAGAACATTATGTGAGAAGTTAGCACAACATAATTGCTTCATAAAATTGAGCTATCGTTATTGCCATTGTTATTTTTATTTTTCAAAATGAATTTAACCTTCAGTGGGGTCTTCATACCATGATTTACCCCAGCCATCCCATATCACAGGGATGTGCATGCATGCCTGACATGTACAGAGGGCTTGGGATATGAACCAGGGACCTTCTTATGTATGTCCCATTGCACTACCACTGCATCATCATCTGCCATGACTTCCCCCCATCGTTTTTTAAATATTTCTTTATACATTCAATCACATTATTTAGATTATAAGTGAATATTTCAACATGTGAACATTTCTCCCAGGTCAAACTGATAAAACTATAAAATTAATCCATTAATGATTTGTCTCTCTATTTTTCTTCTAAATGTCCTTCCTCAGACCCTCCTCTTTCACACACACTATATCTGGTATTCACATCCATTTACTGTGTTTCTATATCCTTTAATCAATCAGTTTTAGAAATAGAGTGCAGACTCTCAGTATATATTAAGTGGGGACATACAATGTCTCTCCTTCATAGCCTGGCTTGCTTCACTCATCAGTAAATCTTTTATATTCTTCCACTTTCTGTCAAAAGCTAGGGTTTTGTTGGTGGTGAGTTTTTTTTTTTTATGGCTGAATAGTATTCCATAGAGTATATGTGCCACAGTTTTTAATCCATTCATCTGATAGTGGGCATTTGGGTTGGTTCCATCTCTTAGCAATTGCGAATAGTGCTGCAATAAACATCAATGTGCAAGCACTTTGCCGATTAAGAATTCTTCTGTCCTTTGGGTAGATACCAAAGAGTGGGATTGCTGGATCATATGGTAGTTCTATTTGTAGATTTTTGAGGAATCTCCAGATTGTTCTCGACAGTGGCTGGACCAATTTACATTCCCACCTACAGAGTAAGAGAGTTCCCCTTTCACCACACCTCTGCCAGCACTTATCATTTGTTGTTTTTGTTTGTTTGTTTGTTTTATTTAATCTTAGTCATTCTGACTGGGGTTAGGTGGTATCTCATTGTTTTGGTCTGCATTTCCCTTACAATGAGGGATGTTGAGCATTTTTTTTCATATGGCTTTTGGCTTTCATATGTTATCTGTAGAGAGTGTTTTTTTTTTTTTTTTTTAACTCATTCTCCCATCTTTTAATAGGGTTGATAATCTTTTTTTGGAACAACTGCTTGAGTTCCTTATATATTCTTGTTACCAGCCACTTATTTACTGTGTTTTTTGCCATGCAGAAATTTCTTAATCTGATGTAATCTCACTTGTTTATTTTGGGGATTATCGACTGTGCTTTCAGGGTCTTATTTGAGAAATCTTTGCTTACCCCAGTGTCTCCCAGAGTTTCCCCAATGTTTCCCAAGAGCAGTTTTATAGTTTGTGGTCCTAGGTTTAGATCTTTGATCCACCTTGAGTTGATTTTTGTCAAAGGTGAGAGGTAGGGGTTCAGCGTCATCTTTCTGCATGTGGAAATTCAGTTTTTCCAGTACCATTTGCTGAAGTTTTCCTTTTCCCAGTGGATTGACTGATACTCCTTGTCAAAAATGAGTTGACTGTATGTTTGGGAATTTATTTTGGGGAACATATTCTGTTCCATTGGTCCACCTGTCTGTTTCTGTGCAAATACCATGCTGTTTTGACTACCAAGTATGATACTTTCTAAGAGTGAAGAATGTGTCTAGTAGTCATTGTTATTTTCAATAAGATATGGGTACTGCCCCAGAGGAGCTTCCATCAGTGCAGGCTTAAGAGTATAGTGTTTTATGGGGTAGACAAATCAATTTTGAGGTTTTGGTGTTTAATTCAGGTCCAAAGCCAACAAAATAGGTACTTTATTATAGTAAAATATACTCTCAACTTCCTTGACTTTATTTTTTTACCTAACTGCTGATTGTTTTCCTAACTTAGTGCTCAAATACCATCTACTAAAGAAGGAAGAGTAACAAAATTCTATCCAAAAAGGTCCCCCTAAAAATAAAAAGTTATTTATAGTTCTGAGGCAAGATTGAACAAAAAAAAAAAGAAAGAAATCGAAGTGCTCAAATAAATTGAGTATGTTTTTTTACTTTGCTTTTTGTTTTTATTTTGTTTCATTTTGTTTTATGTGATTATATGAGAAGATTTCAAAAAGTTTGTGGAAAAATAGAATTAAAGTATGAGTTTATTTTGTGCCCCAAATTCGGAAATCTATGCCTAAGTCTTTTGATAATATGCATCTTCCACTAACTTTTTGAAGACCTTTCCTACATCAGCATAAACCCTACCAGGTGGGTTTGAGAACAATACTTGACTGGCAATCTTTCCTACTAATTTTGAGCTTATGACATTTTCATTAATAGACAAAGAGAAAGAGTCTTACATTAGTGAAGTGCCCTGTGCTACAGTTTAAAGGGGACAGGACTAAAAGTGAAGGCTTAAGGTGGCCAAGTCATTTCCAAAAGGGTATGACAGCATTTCCTGGTGGCCCACCTTGGTACTCAGCCTCACAGCTGTTAGTGCACACAAGACTGAATACTCAGGATAACCTATGAGTGGTAGCCAGACTTACAAGACATCGGTAGAGAAACCAAATTCATTTGTTTGTTTTTATCTGTTTATATTTGAGACATAACTTTGTGCAGTGCACTATATTCAGTGTACAGTTTTATAAACTTTAAAGTATGTAAACATTGCATCATTACCACCCAGAGCAAGATAGAGAACATTTCCAGCCAAAAAGTCTCCTTCATCCCTCTTCCGGTGATGGTAAACACTATTCTTGGTCATCTATTATTATATACATGAGGGAACTATTTCAGAGTGAGGATTAGTGTGTCTGAAGAGTCAGGAGGTTGTTTGGAGGATCTGAAATCAGAGAGAGTGGAGAGTAGTGAGTCAGGCCTTGGAGAAACCAAATGAGCTGCTCCACTTGCAGTGCAGGCGGGATTGTTCTCTGCTGGACTCAGTGTTGACTCTCCTTGAGCACATTCTGGCTCTTCGCATGAACAGGAGAGTTGTCAGGCTGGGGAACAGAAAGAAGAAGCCCACCTTTTGGCCAAAAAAGGTCTAACAAAACTGAAAATGTTTCCATTTACTGGATTACAGTCGCATTCCAGCCCAGCCTCCCTGCGATTACACCCAGGTCACCTTGATTCTTAGGTTGAGTGTTCCTGACCTCTGGTTACATATTTACAGCCTGTTGGTTTACTCTCACACATGGCTACTCTCCTTAGAGAGGCTTTATTAATTTGCCTCTCGGTGTCAACTTCCTCTGTCCTACTAGTTCCTCGGGGTACAACCTCATATACAGGCTGTACCAAGTGCTTCATTTATCTGGGGTGGTATGTGCTTCTTAAATGTGTTAATTTAGAATTACCTATGACCCGTCAAGCAGGGTATTATTATTCCCATTTTATAGATGAAGAAATTCAGGCTCCAATGAAACAAAGTGCCCCTAATCACAGAGCTAGTCAATTGGTAAGACTGTGATCAAGGCAGATCAGTCCAATCGGAGTGTCCATGCTTTCTGTCACCCCGTGCTACCACTCAGAAAAGCTGTAGCTAATAATTCGGTTAAATTTATGCCAACCAGCTCCTAGCCCTACCTCATACTCACTCATTTCTTTAGTAAGCATTTGGTCACCAGTTCATGAAATCTGAAAATTCCACTTCTAGGCTGCTTTTATAAGGAGGTATTTGATGTGGGAAAATTTGCTAGAAAACAGTGGATTTTTCAGGGTCAGAGTGGCAGCTTTGTGTCATGATTTGTGAAGTGACCCCAAGTTCTATTCTTGGTAAAATGTCAACCAGCCATGTAACTGACCTCTATTATTGAAGGAACTTTGTGCATTCTCTAGGAGAAAGAAGTACAGAAGAAAAGAAAGCCAAGCACTTTCTATTCTTGTTCTTAAATAAGTGTATGTGTGTGCTCAGTAACTAATTCAGATTTTCTCCTAACATTACTATTTCTTAGGCAATAAAGGAGAGACACTTCCTCTTATAAGATGAGGAGAGAATAGTCCTAGGTCAAACATATTGCCCTACAAAACGCATGATTACATAGGTTTGATTATATTATCAAGGGAAGATCTAGATATTTGGCCCAATGCCTGGGTAGAGTAGTCACTCACTAAATAATTGTTGAGTTGAATTAAATTAGAATAATTGAATGACCACTGGATTAAGAGGGGTATTTCTCTGTGGTAAACATGTTCATGTTTTCTGATACCCTAAGGCTACTGGGGCATCTGGAAACTGAAATAGAAAATAGGAAGCTTTGAGGTAGACTTGATTGCACAATCAGTTGGGGGATGGGAGGGAAGAGAATTCACCAAGTTCAAGTTCTACACATTAACTTTGTGATATTAGGTAAATTCCCGTGATCTCTTTGGGGCTTAGCTTACTCTGCAGTATTTGCGGTGTTCTCATTTAAAACAAACAAACAAAAAAAATGAAAACACATGTATTCATTTCCTAGGGCTGTGGTAACAATTAAAACAAATCCAGTGGCTAAAAACAATAGAAATCCACCCTCTCACATTTCTGGAGGCTTGAAATCCAAAATGCAATGTTTTTCCAGGTTGGTTCCTTCTGAAGGGTGTGAGGGAGAATCTGTTCCATCCCTCTCTCCCAGATCTGGTGGTTTGCTGGCAGTCCTTGGCATTCCTTGGCTTGTAGATACATCACTCCAGTCTCTGCCTCCATCCTCACATAGTGTGCTCCACTGTGTGCCTCCATCTGTGTGTCTAAATCTCCTCTTCTTTAACAATTCCAGTGATACTGGATTTATGGCTGCCATAATTCACTACAACTTCATCTTCATATGTACATAGACCCTATTTCCAAATAAGGTCACCTTCTGAGGTAGACGTGAACTTCATCTGTGGATGTGAACTTTGGAGGGACACTATTCAATCCAGCTCAGCATTTTGCAAATGATAGCCCTTCTGGTTGTTGCTAATACTAAAATATTGATGCTTCCATATAAGAGGACTAAGGCGGAAAAAATAACCCTGATTACATTAAGCTAAAGTGAAATTAGCCAGTCATGAAAAGACAAATTCTACATGAATCCACTTAGATGAAGTATTTAGAACCATCACATCCCTAGAAACAGAAAGCGGAAGGGTAGTTGTCAAGGACGAGGAGTAGGGAGGAATGAGGAGTCCTTATTTAAAAGATATATAGTTTTGCCATGCCAGATTGAGAAAAGTTCTGGGGACTGCATGCACATCAGTATGAATACCCTTAATACTACTGAATGGGACACTAAAAATGGTTAAATGGTAAGCATTATGTATATTTTACCACGATTAAGAACTTTAATTATTCCTGCACCAATCTGGAAACCAATCACTTTTTTTTTTTGTTTTTTTTTGGCTGGAGGGCACATACACTCACCAGACAGGGACAGGAAAGACAGAATGAGAGGGTGTGAGAGGAAAAGTGAGAAGGCACCTCCCATGGAAAATGGTCATACAATAATCCCTTCTCTGCCATTTCTCCTTTTGGGATTTTGGGCACTCAAGCTGCCAGGTCTGGGACTCAAACTGCATAGTCAGCCGTGTGGGATGCAGTCACCTTAACCACTACACCACCAGCTGACCCCAAACACATTTTATATAATTGTTTTATTTTGTGTTAGAAACCACATTCTTCTCAAAGAACTTTTGTGATGACAATCATTTGTGAATGGGTGTCTGCCTGAGCCTCAGCATTTTACTCTGGTTTTGCATTTTTCTTCTCCCATACCTTTAGCTATAACCTGGGCAGTGGTGTGGCATCCATTATGGTGAATGGCTCCTTCAATGACGGTCGGTGGCACCGAGTCAAGGCTGTTCGGTGAGTCTCTACCATAGCATGAGACAGAGCTGGGGCTAAGCAAGAGTGGGATGTGGTGTCCAATTCCCCTTGAGTTTCACTATCCTGTTCCCCACCCTTGCCTGCTCTTCTAGTCCTCCTGATTCAGGGCGTATTGCTACTAACTTACACCTGTGTCCTCCTCTGACATGGACAGGCCTGAGAGACTGAACCCTCAAGTCCTTACTCAACAATGACCTTTTGGAGAAAGAACTGTTTTGGGCTAAACTGTAGTAGGGTATCACTATGTAGTGACATGGGGGTTTCAGGATATGTGGATTTTAAAGAATGCTTCAAAATCTCATTGTGTAGGCAATTGCCAACTGTTGATTTTTTCCTATTACCTGAACATTAGAAGCTGTGTGTAGGTATTCACCCAGTTCCAAGCTCCAATTATACACGTCCCCCATACAGAGGTGATCACTACCCTGACTTTTGATGAATTTAGAGAGAATTGTTCTTTCACTGTTCTTTATGGTTTTACTACCTGTAGCCATTTCCCTTACAATATATTTTCAGAAACCAAATAGTAGGCCCAAACTTAGACATGTCAACACTGCATGTTAGATGAGATCCCAGGAAGAGGTAAGCCAAGCAGCATCTCTGAGAATTTACTGTAACTCTTTCTGGATAGGTCAGTGGGTGAAGCCATGAGACTTGATGCATGAGGCTCACCATGATCATTTTCCCACTCAACTCACATATAGGCCATGGAAGAAAGAGCCTTGTCAAGCCTCTTCACAAGCCACTGTGCCTGCCTTTGATACCCTAAAGTAGGTGTAAGGATACAGAGAAAGATCTATGTTTATTACCTGTGTAGGTGGCCTAAAAATCCCTTGAGATAGTGATTTTGATGGAGCCCCAATTCTACCTGATTGTAGAAATAAATATGTTCCCGTAATGAATATTTACAGGCTTGGATCTCAAATATGTTGTAGAATGTAAGTCAAAATGCATAGAGGCCAATCTAACCTCAAAGTACTCAAACTATGTGGCTTCTCAGTTCCTTACTTCCCTCTTGTCTATTTTTAATCAGATTGTACAGAAACATCTAAAGGAATACAAAATGTTTGCATTTTTTAACCTCCAACTACATTTGATACATAGGGTCTTCACTCCAGGAACATCAGGGAATATCCTGCTCTCAGTTTCCTCATGTAGGGACAGTTAGTAGAATACTCACAGATTGTGGAAGAATTTTTTTAACCTTCAGAGTGTTGTTTGTGGTTTGAGTGAGTATATCAAGATGCACACTGGTAGGGATGTCAGGTGATTCCTAGACATCTAAGGAAACCAATGTTAAATTACTTTCCCAAGACTCTACAAGTATGTGTGGACAGAGTCAAAATTATAACCCTTTCCACTGCACCCACCCAATATAGCCCACCAGAAACTAGGGTTTTAGGTGTTTGGGAGGGATATGGTAGTGGAATGTTCCCCTAGAACTTCCATAGTCAGAGTGTTGAGTTTGGCACCTGGAAGATGGCTCAGTAGAATTGGCTCTTTTCACTAAGACCATTGATTATCTATCCTAGTGAATCATAGGTTGCAGTGATAGCTGAACAGAAGGAGCCCAGTCTGGGAACGGGATAGTTGGGAGGATTGAAGCAAAGATTGTGAGCTATGAGCAGAGAGGCCTATAAGGGATGATATAATAGATCTAAGAAGGAACTGGGTCAAAGCCATGGATATCAACTATGGCAAGAAGCATTGAGTGGACACCTTCATTCTCTGTAGCAAGCCATCGGTCTTATATAGGGGCATCAGTGAAGAGGAGACCCTCCCAGGAAACCTTGTTTTGTATATTATCTTGCTCTGGGTAATGCTAGTCTTGTAGGCATTAATCCTAGCAGAAAAGAAAAAAACAAATTCTCATTTATTAAACATCTTTAGGTAATTTACATACTTTATCTCAATTAATATTTGTAGCACCTTAGGTTTTATAATCTTCACTTTATAGATAAAAATGATCCTATGATGACAATATTGAGGAAAATGGCAACACATTTCTCTACCAGTTTTTATAGAGCAAGATATATATCAAGTATCAAGCTCTGTGCTTTGCATGCAATAATATCTGATCTCCATCAGAGTCTTGGCGATGGGCAGAATTATTTCCAGTTCAGATGAAGAAACTGAAGCTCCCCAAATTCACTTGTTCATTTGTCTACTATCACGAGCCAGAGACTATTCCAAACACGTGAGCTACATCACTGAATAAAACTAACATCCTTACCTGGATGATTTCACCTTCTAATGGGCCAATAAGTAATAAACGTGATGAAGAAGTACGTTGTGTATTGTTCCCCCCCCCATATAACCTAATGTCAAAATTAAGATTATAAAGCATAACTTTATTTCAGAAGTATAAAATAGGAAAATTTTGTAAATGTGATGGAATAGAATAAGTGGGGGGAAATGGGATATTTTAGAGTAATGAAGAGAAAAAAGGCAAGGCAGGCAAGCTTAGTTGCTGGGAGCATTGCTCATACAGCGTTCAGATTCTAAGAAGCATTTCCAAAGCAGAGTGTGCTCTCAAGAATGAGGACAGAACAGGAGGATGTTCTATAAAGCCCAGTGCCAGAAGAGTTGCTATAAAGAAGTGAGTCCTGTGTTGGTCCACCCAAGCACTATAGAAGCAGATGTATTTGCCTGAAGAAGGTTCATGGGACCAGATAGATTTGAAACCATCTTAGAAAACTGTGAAGATAGAACCACCTCTGTGGCCTGATGGTTAAGGCAGTCACATCTCACATGACTGACTGTGCAGTTCAAATCCTAGACCCCATGACTTGAGAAACATACCAGGTATTTGTGCATGCATGTCCAAAATTCCAAAAGGAGGGAGCAATGGAAGAGAAGGAATTGTGGCATGACAATCCCCTGGGGGTGAAGTATACTTTCTACTTTCTCCTCTCTTTTTCTCTGTCTCTCTCTGATGAGCATGCACGTGCCCTCTTTAAAAAAAGAAAGAAAGTAAAAAGATGAATGATATAAAAAGAAAATACTGCAAAGATGAACATCCTTACCTCAGATAACTATCTCCCCTCTCCTGTCATTAGAGTCACTTTGGGGTTTTGTGGATCCTTTAGAGACTTCTAGGACATTGTTCTTCCTCCCCAAGAATAATTCTGTACTTGCAAAAACTGTTTCTTTGGGTTCCCATTGTAATTAGTATAACATCCTAGCTCCATGTGCCTCAACATGTCTCCCATTTTGCCACCACCCCTTCTTTGACTTCACTTTTAAGTTCTTCTCTGGCTCCCTTTCACCTTCAAGACAAATTCAAAAGTCCTTATAACACCCTTCACCATCTACTTCCGGCTTCATCTTTTGCCACTCTCATCTCACCCACATCAGTCTCTCTGCTCAGTCTGAGCCACCCCCTCATGTTTTCTCTTTGCTGTTGCTACTTCTGTTGCATCTGCCTTCTCTTTCATCTCACTTACCCAGTATCCAGACTCATCTCAGACAGAATCACCTCTGCCAACCTTTTCCTGACTCTCTCCAGTAGTTGCCCTCTGCCTAGTCTAGGTTAGGGGCTCCTCTTATGTAATTCCAAGCATCCTCACATTCCACCATGGAGTGGCGGCACCACACTGTCATTTGCAATTTGATATTTTGTCTTCCCTGGTAGACTGTGAACTCCTGACAGCCAAGTATTTGGGGTTTTGTTTTATTTCACTTGGTTTGGGTTTGGATTTGGTTTTTGCAGTCCCATTGCATAGCATAGTATCTGGCACACTGTAGGAACTTTCGTACTTTCTTTTTTTTTAATGACTGAATTCTAGAAATGGTGTGTATGTTGGTTTTTAATAGAGATGGCCAATCAGGAAAGATTACCGTGGATGATTATGGAGCCAGGACAGGCAAGTCTCCCGGCATGATGAGGCAACTCAACATCAATGGAGCCCTGTATGTGGGTAAGTGACCGTGGACCAAATCTAAATCAGCCCAGTGCTTTTCTTGTTAGTCCTCTGTCATGCTGGGGTTGTACACTTTACTGGAATAAATACCTGGAAATCAGGAAGCTCTCCAAATATTCCATTCTTCTGAACTTCTGACTCAGGGATGAAAGGACAGGAAACGACTCACTTACATGCTTCTGTGCTTTGGACCAATCCACTAGGAAAACCATGCTTGTCTTGTTCATAGAATGAGAATCTGCTAAATATAACGCTATGAATTATTTCTGAGGAAGGAAGATCCATCTTTCTGGCCCCTTAAAGAATAGAACACGTCCTATTTTTGTAAATGGCTTATAATCAATTAGGGGATCAGTGGTTCTATTAGTATGTGAGGACACATGTACAAATAAAAATATATCTTTTTATTCATGTAATATTGTCTAAAAGTGAACTTAACATCAGTATATTTCTTTTGGTTTAAGGTGACATCACCTCTAACTATATACTACATTTTGTTGATGTTATATGTTATATGATGTTATATGTTTCAACATTTACTAAATGCTGCTTGGTTTCAACATGGTAAATTGGGGCAGAAATCAAACATGTGCATATTTATAATCTTTGGTTGTGTGTCAAATTGAGCTAGATCAACCTGTTCCTTCAAGGATAGTGATAAAATGAGGAGGTGAAATACATGGAGCAGGTCGAGGGATCCATAGCCATCACATACTTGGTCCTACCAACCAGGATATGTCTTGATCAGTAGGCAGGCAAGATCTCCTGCTGCCAACACCTCCACTTTGCTCACCCCATCTCTCTCTTGCTTCTTGGCAGGTGGAATGAAGGAAATTGCTCTGCACACCAACAGGCAGTACATGAGAGGCCTCGTGGGCTGCATCTCTCATTTCACCCTATCCACCGATTACCACATCTCCCTCGTGGAAGATGCAGTGGATGGGAGAAACATCAACACTTGTGGAGCCAAATAAACAGCTGGCCTTGCCCAAGAGACAGAGCCTCTATCCTGAGACTCCCCAGGGCCCCAAGACCCTGTCTGATGCCATACACCAAGGTCCAGGACCAGGTGTATTTCCTCTCATCAGGAAGAAAATACGCCCTGATGAAAAGCTGAGAACCAAGACAGGGGTCCCTGGATAGCT